GCGCAGCGATCTGCCACGGAGATGACTTCCTGGCCGAAGGCTCTGACGAGCAGCTGGACGAGACAGCGAGTGCCAGAATGGGCCCTGGAAGACCTGGCCGGACGAACTACCTCAGGAGGATCGCCGGGTCCACCGACAAGCTGCCAGGGTCAGAAGGGCCAGGCTTTGTTCTGGACAGCGGATCCTAATCACGTGGATCTCATGATTCAGTGGACGCAGAAGCGAGAGTGCAGGCCAGCTCCTCCAGGGGCGAAGGCTACAGGACAAGGACGGCGAGGCAGCTTATACCTTTTGTCCGAGGACCGAGCTCGGGAAGTTGCAGGTGCAGCAGGCACGGCGCTCTACCTCTCTTCGGACAGGCCTGGCACACATTACGCCAGCAAGACCGCGATGCAGCGCGTCTCGAAGCCCGACGTTCTGACGCATGCGCGAGTTCAGCGGTTTGGACGGTACTATGAAGGTCACCCTGTGTTGGTATGGTGCTACCTTTTGCATGGTACTCCTGAAGGCGTTCGCGTGGACGGAGATGCAGACTGGGCCCCTGCAAGCGAATTGCAGAGACGATCCACGAGCGGAGGAGCGGTGCGGCATGGTGACCACACAGAGCACCATAGCTCTAAGTTCAGGGGTGTCCGGCACGTGCAGCAGAGTGGGCGCGGGCAAGGTCAGGCACCTGGAACTGAGGTACTTTGGATTCAAGAGCGGCTGCGACCCAAGGCGTTTGAGCTCCTGAAGGAGGACGCCAATGAGATGACGGCAGACGTGCTCACCGCGCACAGCGAGTGGTCGACGATAGAGAAGGACTGCGCCACTCTGAACCTCATTTTCGGGAAGCGGCTCAAGGGCTCGAGCGCGATGGCAGTTTTCACGGGAGTCGTGACTTCTGCGCCAGGCGAGAAGGTGACGGTGTATCAGGGGCCAGGCCAGGCAGCGGGTGCCCCGCACCTGTGCCCCGTCACGTGGATCGCGGGAAGTTCTGGTTCATCCTGAAGATGGGCGTCTGCGCGGTGATCGCTGCAGTGCTTGTTCTACGATGCGCGTGCGGTTGCTACGCGAGGAACGACCTCAAGGGGGATCTCGTCCAGGAGGCAGTTGACCCTGCTCCTGGAGACGCCGACGTCTACCTGACTACGCGGGCTGACACAGAGGTCAAGACCATGAGTGCGCAAGGACTTGGCACAACCCCTCGCCCAGCACGATGCGACGGAAGAGCGAGGCACAAGCTTTTGAACGCGTTTCTCGTGGTCGACTTGAAGCAAATCTTGAGAACCACAGGCCTACGCGTGAGTGGTCTCAAAGACGACCTGATCATGAGGCTGGTCAGGAAAGGCAGCGTCCTATCGGATCACCAGGCCAAGGAGATCGAGCAGCTGAGAGTGACGGCTACGATGCGCGGACCCCTGATCAGGACCAACATGCAGGATTGAGTAGTCTTGAGGCAGCGCAAGAGTGGATTGAGACGTTCAAGAGCGAGTGCCGAGATCGTCCCGATGGCTCAAATCTGATCCACCCAGAGAGCTAGACGGATGGTCGCAGGAAGCACTACGACGGCCGAAGCTGAGCTAACGACAAGGCTGCGGTTAGTCCCGCGCCTGCCCACGGCGTGTTTTTTTTTTTTTTTTTTTTTTTTTTTTTTTTTTTTTTTTTTTTTTTTTTTTTTTTTTTTTTTTACATTAATATATATATATATAATATATATATATATATATATATATATATAAAAAAAAAAAACAAAAAAAAAAAAAACAAAAAAAAAAAACCGCGCGCGGGTTGAGGGCCCGCGGGGGGTCCCCCGGAAGGCCCGCGGAAGGGACCACAAAGCTGGTACCCTGCTCATGTTTCTCGGCTGGAGGCCGAGCCGCTTCCCTGCGCCCAAGAAGGGGTGTTGGGAAGTTTGTAGTGTTATTGTTCTATATGTATGATTTATTTATCAAGATATAATCAGACTGTTTGGGCGATGGCCCGAAATCCTGCAGCCCATTGTTGCTCAAGAAAAAGAACAGCCCTCCCTTCCCCTTTCTCCGCGACGGGGGTGGGGGAGCACGTGCAAGACTGCCCAAGAGAATTTGACGAACGCTCCCCAGAGGCGAGGCCCCAGGAGGCAAACGTCATTGATTGTCCATCGTGTTTTTTGTTAAACATGTTTTCGGGGTGCTCGACTTTCGAGCTTCCGGGGTTCCACGACGTCCAAATAGGCCGCCCGCCTCAAGACGGCCCGGGAGGCCCCCAAGATGGCACCGAAACGGGCCCAGAGGGTCCCAAGACGGGTTCAAAGGGGTTCAAGAAGACGGCCCGCGACAGCCCCAAAATGGGCCAGCGAGCAGGACAGTTCCAGCCTCCCGACAGAGGCCCGGAAGGACAAGAGGGGCCAAGATGAGCCTGAAAGGACCACTCCAGCCCGCCATGCCCCAAGAGGCGAAACCCATTGATTACTAATAGGTTTTTCAATGCTTTCGGGCTTTCCAAATTTTCCCAGAAAAGGCCCCAAGTCCGCCCCAGGGGTTCCCACGCCCCAGAAGGCCCCCAAGACCGCCCCGAAACGGGCCAAGAGGCCCAGAGGGGGTCCCAAGGGGGCCCAAGGGCGCCCCAAGCGGCCCGAGAGGCGTCCAAGACGCCCCCAAGAGGACGGGCCTAAGAAGACGATCCCAAAAGGGCGAACGCAGGAGCCCCGAAACGGGAAGTCGAGCCTTCCGTCACAAGATGCCCTCGCCCGGCCAAAGGTATTCGATGGGCGCTCCCCGGATGGCCGCAAGAGGCAAACGCCGCTGATTTGTCCTAAGGTTATCCTGTGTTTTCGAAAGTCTCCACTTTTCGAGCCTTCTCTCCCTCACTCTCTTCGTCTCTCTCTCTCTCTCTCTCTCTCTCTCTCTCTCACACGCACTCAAAGGGTTTTTCTTTCTCTCCCGCGACACATCTGTATATCCATAGCGGCCGTGGCCGTGGGGGGGGAGCCAGGATCCTGACTTGCGGTGGGCGCCGAGAGAGGAGAGTGATGAGGATGATCAGGTTTTCGGGTAAGGAGCGACCCTGGGGAGAGGAGTGGAATGATGATGGTCGGGAGTAGCAGGATGGGATCACGATGATGATGTTGATGACGATGATGATGATGATGATGTTGATGATGATGATGGGGATGATGATGCTGCGAATGAGGGTGATGGTGGGGAGGATGGTGATGATGAGGATGATGATTATGATGCTGATGGTGTTGATGTTGATGATGCTGATGCTTGTGATGGTGATGATGGTGGTGAGCATGGTGATGATGATACTGGATATGATGATGCGGATGATGATGGCAATGCTGATGGTGACGTGATGATGGTCATGATCATGATCATGATGCTGATGATATTGATGCTCATGGTGGTGGTGATGGTGATGTTGGCGATGGTGATGATGATGGTTATAATAATAATATTTATGATCATGAGGATGATGATAATGCTGATGATGTTGATGGTAATGGTGATGGTGATGGTGATGACGATGCTGATGAAGATGATAGTGATGATGATGGTGATGCTGGTGATGTTGTTGGTGATGCTGATGGTGGTGCTGATGATGATGTTTATGCTGGTGCTGATGATCAGGATGATGGTGGTGATGCTGATGGTTAGGATGGTGATGGTGATGGTGATGGTGTTGATGGTGATGAATGGAAAGAAGATGATGCTGATGCTGATGATGGTGATGCTAATGAAGATGATGATGATGATGCTGATGGTCATGATGATGAATAAGGTGATGGTGATGATGATGATGACGACGATAATGATGGTGAAACTGATGATAACGATGATGATGATGATGATGATGATGATGATGATGATGATGATGATGTGGAGGACGATGATGATGATGATGATGATGATGATGATGAAGATGGGACGGATGGTGATGCTGATGAGGATGATGATTATAATGATGCCGATGCTGATGTTGATGATGGTGGTGATGGTGGTGATGATGTTGGTGCTGAGCATGATGATGATACTGGACACGATGATGATGATGGTAATGCTGATGATGATGATCATGACCATGACCATGACCATGATGCTGATGGTACTGGCGATGATGGTGATGGTTGTGCTGGTGATGGTGATGGTGATGCTGCTGGTTATGATGATGGTTATGAGTTTGATGATGATGATGATGATGTTCATGGTGGTGATGATAATGATGATGATGATGCTGAGTGTACTGGTAATGGTGATGAAGATGATGATGACGATGTTGATGAAGATGATGGTGATGATGATGTTGATGCTGGTGATGTTTGTGATGATGATGATGATGATGATGATGATGATGATGATGATGATGATGATGATGGGGAGGATGATGATGCTGATGATGAGGATGCTGATGATGATGATGATGGTTAGGATGCTGATGATGATTGTCAGGATGGTGATGGTGATGATCGTGGTGATGATGGTGATGATAGTAATGATCATAAAGAAGCTGCTGTTGATGACGATGATGATGAAGATGCTGATGATGATAGTGATGATGATAATGATGAAGGTGATGGTGATGATGACGACGACGACGACGATACTGATTATGGTGGTGGTGCTGATGGTTAAACTGATGATGATGACGATGATTATGACGATGATGATTAGATGATGATGATGATGATGATGATGATGATGATGCTGATGATGATGATGATGCTGATGCTGATGCTGATGCTGATGATGATGATGATGATGATGATGCTGATGCTGATGCTGATGCTGATGCTGATGACGATGGTGTTGTTGATGATGGTGATGATGACGACGACATTAATGATGATGATGATGATGATGATGATGATGATGAGGAGGAGGAGGAGGAGGAGGAGGAGGAGGAGGGCAGGGCTACTGTATGGTGCCGCGGGGCCAGATATTACTCATACCAAGAAGGGGGGAAGGCGGGAAGAGGCGGACTGGCAGCAGCCGGGAACGGCTCGGCTCTTCCCTCCGGCTCCCGTCGCGGCCCCAGAGGCGTGCGGCTTCCAGGGTGGCGACGTCGAGTGGGAGGACTGCCACGGGGGAGTCCGACAGCCTCGGGTCAAGCAGTGACGAAGCGTCCTGGCTCGCCTATAGGCCCACCAAAGAAAGTTCTAAGAACCTTTTGTGGTTTGCACGACCCGTTCTCAGAACATTTCAGGCTGAGTCTGTCCTGTTTCCACACAGCAGTTTTATGTTTAGAACGTTCTGGGGTTCTAGACCATTTCTTGTTCGGCCTATAGAAATACCGGGACGGTAGGTCCTTGCTCAATCGGGCGGGCGCGCGCTTCATAGCCGAGTTCAGGCACGCCATTTGCTTGCCAACAGCACGCGTCGATCCTCCTGAGCGCAACGCCCCTCAACCATTCCCTCGTCTTTCTCGCTCCCCTCCGCTCTCCTCCTCATCCCCCCTTGTCCCCCAACTTCGTGCTCTCCCGCTCTCCCCCTCCTCTTCCCCTCATCCTCCACCTCCCTCCTTCCTGCTCCCTCCTCCCTCCTCCTCCGTTCCTCCTCCTCCTCCTCCTCCTCCTCCTCCTCCTCCTCCCCCTCCTCCTCCGTCTCTGCCCCCGGAGGAGGAGGAGGAGGAGGAGGAGGAGGAGGAGGAGGAGGAGGAGGAGGAGGAGGAGGAGGAGGAGGAGGAGGAGGAAAGGAGGAGGAGGACCCCGCCTGCCCGCTCGCCTGCCCCGTCCCCCGGGGCTCTGGCCTCCCGCAGCGCGCGCTCTCCGCCGCCGTCATGCTGCTCCTTCCCGGCTGGGGCTGCGCAGGCCGCCTCAGGTTGGGCGCCGCGTAATGGGAAAAACTCTTTTTCCCGGCAAACTCGACTCTTTCCCGGCAAACTGGACTGTTTCCCGGCGATCCGTTTCAGAAACATTTAAAGCTTTTGAAAAGCTTTACAGAGTTCCCTCCGACGACGGACCCTGGAACCTCCGACGCGGCCGCCTTGGGGCCTCCTTCGGCCCCCTTGGGGCCTCCTGAGGCCATCTTGGGGCCTCCTTAGGCCCCCTTGGGGCCTCCTTAGGCCCCCTTGGGGCCTCCTGAGGCCGCCTTGGGGCCTCCTGAGGCCATCTTGGGGCCTCCTTAGGCCCCCTTGGGGCCTCCTGAGGCCTTGGGGCCTCCTGAGGCCCCTTGGGGCCTCCTGAGGCCCCTTGGGGCCTCCTGAGGCCCCCTTGGGCCTCCTTAGGCCCCCTTGGGGCCTCCTGAGGCCATCTTGGGGCCTCCTTAGGCCCCCTTGGGGCCTCCTGAGGCCATCTTGGGGCCTCCTTAGGCCCCCTTGGGGCCTCCTGAGGCCATCTTGGGGCCTCCTGAGGCCCCCTTGGGGCCTCCTGAGGCCATCTTGGGGCCTCCTGAGGCCATCTTGGGGCCTCCTTAGGCCATCTTGGGGCCTCCTGAGGCCCCCTTGGGGCCTCCTTAGGCCACCTTGGGGCCTCCTTAGGCCACCTTGGGGCCTCCTGAGGCGCCTCTTGGGGCCTCCTGAGGCCATCTTGGGGCCTCCTTAGGCCCCCTTGGGGCCTCCTGCTTTTACGAATACTTGTGCTTTTACTACCATTAATCTTTCCACTACTACAAGTACTATTCGTAATCTCACTATCCTTAATACAATCACTCCTAGTAGTACTAATCCACTAACCCTACTACTACTACTACTGCTACTACTACTACTACTACAACAACTACTACTACTACTACTACTACTACTACCACTACTACTACTACTACTACTACTACTACTACTACTATACTACTACTACTACTACTACTACTACTACTACTACTACTACTACTACTACTACTACTACTACTACTACTACTACTACTACTACTACGACTACGACTACTACTACTACTACTACTACTACTACTACTACTACTACTACTACTACTATACTACTACTATTACTATTACAAACACTGCGAGGAGTAGTGCTACGGCGAAGGCCGCACGACACAAGTCAACCACTGGACTCTTTCCCGGCTAGGATCTGCGCAGCGGGAGTTGGAGACCTTTAAGGTGATAGTGGGATTTTCGGAAATCCATGCTTCAAGCTTCCATACAAAAACTAAGCAAACTGGACTCTTTCCCGGCGGAGCGCCGGGGAAAAGTCCAGTTTGCCGGGGAAAAGCCCAGTTTGCCAGGAAAAAGTGGACAACCCCGCGTAATGGGGGGGTCATAAATGGGGGGGTGGCGAGCGTGGTCCGAAAAGGTACCCAAACGGTACCTAAACGAGCCCCCTGGGGCTCTGGAGGGGCACGAAAGGGGACGTTTTCTGACCCCCCCATTTGTGACCCCCCCATGAAGCCACGCCCAATCAGGGCACGCGGCGTGGGCAGGGGGTGCTGGCGGCTGCCAGATTTCGGCGGGGGGCCCAGACATGCCCCCCTTTTCTCCTGCCTCCCCTCCCTCCCCCTCCCTCCCTCCCTCCCCATCCTCCCCCCCATCCCTCCTCCCCTCCCTCCCTCCCCCTCCCTCCATCCCCCTCCCTCCTCCCCCCCCCCCCACCCTCCCCCCTCCTCCCCTCCCTCCCCCTCCTTTCCCCTGCCTCCCTCCCCTCTCCCCCTCCCTCTCCTCCCTCCCCCTCCCACCTCGCACGGGTTCCCCTCCCCTAAGTGGGGAATAGACTACATAATCGATTTACCCCACAATTGATTCGGCACTGAATCTACGACACATGCCTACAATGCCTCGCAGATCTACTGGCTATTCCGCGTATTTTCCTCATGTGTTCGACGGGATATCAAATTTGGGGTGCATCAATTCTTTAGTCGATCCCCTACTCGAGCCCTTCCTCCTCCCATATGAATTCACGCTCCTTTCGCCTTTCAACTTTCTTCTCGTGCTGCTCAACCCCACTGTCTGCTTCCTGCTTCCCCTTCCCCCCTCATGCGTTTTCTCCTTCTCGTGTGCGTCCGCCAGCCTCCTCCTCCTCCTCCTCCTCATCCCTTCTTGGCCCTCGAGCCCTCATTCTCTTCCCCTGGTGCTCGAGTAGGCGATCGACTGCAGAATGGATGTTCCCCAAAGTTGTCTTCTTCGTTGAGTCATACGTAGAATGTTCGCTGATCTACGAGCAGCCCACGAATTCCTCATGGATTCGACGAACAAATCATTTCTGGTGCGAATAAATTATGCAGTCGCTCCCCTACCCGAAGTGCGACAGTGACGACGACGACGACGACGACGACGACGACGAGGCCGACGACGAGGACGCAGACCATGACCGCGAGCACCACGGCGAAAACGAGAGAGGGCGCACACGGACGGACGACGCCTGACGTCGACGACCGCGAAACGACGAGCTGGGAGCCTTCCTTTCTCCGCAGACCCAGGCAAGTTGCATGACGTTCATCCCTTCCCCCTCCTCTCCCCCTCCTCCCTTCCCCTCGTCCAGTCAGTAGACGTCTGCAACTGATTTTCGACATCGCTGGTCTGCTCATTTGTGGTTCGGCTGGATGCTATCTCCGTTGTAGCTGCGGAAAAAAATGCATGACGTTCATCCCCCCCTTGCCACTCTTCAATCGAGCACGAGCGTGCAATTGCCTTTAGACTTGCGTGACTTCCGCAGGTCAAGTTGCTTTCGGCTTGCCTCAGGCTCAGCCCCCCCCCGTCCATGCAAGCAAACTTGCCCGAATCCAGAAAATAGGCTCTATAGATCAGAGAGAGCGTGATCCACCGCCGCTTTACTGTGGAAAATTGCCGCCTTTTTCCTCCGGAACCCGGGAGTCCCCCCCCCCCCCTCCGAAAATCCTCCCCCCACCTGCTGGAACCCTCCCCCCCCCCCCCTCCCCCCCCCCCCCCCCCCCCAACACCCCCCCTCCCCCCCCGAACTCGAAAACCGAGGGGGGTCACTGCCGGTTCGAACCCCCCCCCCCCCCATAGCAAACGACTCCCGGTCCCTACCACCGTCCTCACCACATCCCCCACTGTTGTTCCCAGCACCACTGTCCTCACCACCACTGTCCCCACTGGTTCCACCACCGCCCCTACTGTCCCCACCAGTGCCACCACCACTGTCGCACTGTCCCCACTGTCCCCACCACTGTTCCCACCACGGCTCCACTCTCCCAACTTTCTCCACGACTATCCCCACTGTCCCCACTGTCCCACTGACTCCTCCGCTGTCCCACTGAGCTGTCCCACTGTTCCCACCACTGTCCCCACTGTCCCCACCACTGTCCCCACTGTACCTCTGTCCCATTGTCCCACCGCCGTCCTCGCCACCGCCTTCACCACTGTCCCCACCACCACTGTACCCTCCACTGTCCTACTGTTTCCACCACATTCCCACTGTCCCCACACCACTGTCCCCACCACCACCGTCCCCACCACTGTCCCACTGTCCCCACTGTTCCCACCATTGTCCTCACCATTGTCCCCACCACTACCGTCCCCACCAATGTCCCACTGTCCCCACCACTGTCCCGCTGTCCCCTCGCCACTGTCCTCACCACCGCCGTCCCCACCACTGTCCGCACCCCCCCTCGGTTTTCGAGGGGGGGGGTTCGAACCGGTAGTGACCCTCCCCAGTTTTCGAGTTCGAGGGGGGGGGGGGGAGGGGGGGTTCGAACCGGTAGTGACCCCCCCTCCTGTCATGATGAAGTGGGGGGGGGGGGAGGGGTTCGAACCGGTAGTGACCCCCCCCGGTTTTCCGGAGGGGGGGGGGGGAGGGGTTCGAACCGGTAGTGACCCCCCCCCGGTTTTCCGCCAGCAGCGGTAGAGCACGCTCTTTCGATCACGACGACACTGACAATGGCGCTGAGCGACGACGACGACGAGTTTACTTGCATGGAGGGGGGGGGGCCTGAGGCTGAAGCAAGCCGAAAACAGCTTGACGTGCGGAAGTGACGCAAATCGAAAGGCACTTGCACGCTCGTACTCGATTGAAGAGTGGCGAGGGGGGGGTGCAGGAGCGAACGCCATGCAAATAAACGCTCCTGGATCTAAAGAAAGACATGCTCCGACGACGACCTCCGGCGCCGGTCAGGAGGACTACCGGGCGCTCTGCACGGAGTACGGCTGGAGCCCAGAGCGGGGGCCGTGCGCCAGGCAGGCTGCGCCTCGGCGGCGGCGCTCTCGCGGGGCGGGGGGGGCGAGGAGGAGGGCGGGCAGGAGGGCAGGGGGGATGGGGTGAGGAGGAGGAGGAGGAGGAGGAGGAGGAGGAGGAGGAGGAGGGGGAGGAGGAGGGGGAGGAGGAGGATGTGGTGAGGAGGAGGAGGGGGGTGGTGATGGGGCAGGGAGGGACTTGGAGGGGAGGGGAGGGGGGGGGAGGGCAAGGGAGGAGGAGGAGGGCGAATTCTGGGGTTCCTCGCTTGCTGAGGTGGCCCTCGCATGGGTGAGCACTATCAGTTGAAACATGTCGCATTGATTGAACAGCACTTACATCTGGACCACGCACCCCATTCATTGGGCACCATGCAAGCTTGCACCTTCATCACAAGATGAGTGGCGAACAGACGACATTCACACGATTTGTATTGGTGAACGAGTGGGCCAAGTTGAACATGTCCGTCCCACTGCGAGTGTTTGGCCAATCCAACCTAAATCTAACTGCCAGTATTGTGATCGGAGCCTAGACGCCAATTTGGCGCCAGTATGAGCATGGACAACAGACAACAAGGCTTGCCTGTAGAAGCAAAGGCCCACTGTCTGCGCTGCTTGGTAGACTTATGGGTGTCAGCACTGCCACCACGTCTTTGTTGCCCCCTTTTGCAGTGTATGGAAAACCAGGTGTGCCGCGCGGCGACAGGGAGTTATAAGGTTCGAAAATAGCTATTCGCGCGCGAGCGCCTAAGCCCGCTCGATCACTCAGAGACCACTTAGGGCCTCGCAACCGTCGGCAGCCCTAACCATTGGGGCATGCATGGCGGGGGTGGGGCAGTGGGTAGACGACGCTTCGGTGAGGTGGAGGTTGCTATAAGCCAATTGGGACTGGAAGGCGGGGAGAGCGAGCAAACAGAGTGGACCGACAAGGAGAAAACCAAGGAAAGACCTGGGATATGTGAATGAGCGCACCCATGAAACTGGCGAGCTCGACATCGTTCTTCCCTCGGCGGCGAGCGAGGGGGGGAAGTGAGCAGGAGAAGGCCTTCTCAGAAGGCTCGGAAGCCCCCCAGCATTCTGAGAAGTTTCCTGAGCCCTCCCCGAAGGCGCAGAACACTTCTCAGGAGACGCGAGGGCTTTTGAGAAGCCCCGCCGCTTTCTGAGAAGGCCTTCTCCTTCTCAATTCCCCCCCTGGGCGCGCCGCCGAATTCTGTTATTGTGTCATAGCTCGGGTCTCGATCCTGGCACCCCCGGAACGCTCTCGGCGAGGCGCGGCCGCTGGAACGCACCCCGAGGCCAGACGACCGCCGAGAACCCACGAAAGCGTCCCAAAACCCTGAACGTCGATCCCGAAAACTTGGAAACGCCCTCCCCCCCTCGCTCGCCGCCGATTCCCGAGTCCCACGCGGGTGCCCTGGCAGGCACCCTCGGGCGCCCCCCAGGAGAGCGTCCTCCTCGGGTGTCGGGTGGTCTCTCTTTAGGCCTCCCAGATGGGGTCGGAGCAGATGTGGTCGGAGGACCGCGCCGCATCGCCGATGCCTCGCCGATGCGGCTCGATGTGGAGCCCGATGTGATTCACGTCGACGTCGCGGATACGTCGCCGACGTCGCCGATGCATCGCCGACGCATCTTCGATGCCAGCGATGCATTGGCGATGCGGCGCGATCCTTCGGGCCCACCTACTCCGACCCCGTCTGTGAGGCCTCTATTGGCGGGCTGGCCCCTCGCCCTTCCTCTCCGCCCTCCGTCCGTGTTCCTGCACCCGGCTCCGCCACTTCTCGCCCTCTCTCGTTGCCTCCTGGCCCCTTGGCTCGAACGGCGCCTCCTGCTTGATCTGATGGGCCAAGTGTCCACCAGCCTTAGCACATGTGGGGCGGGGGAGAAGGTCGGAAGCCTGGCGAGGGCTGGCAAATTCAAGGCTGCTAAAACGGTCGTCCTGGAATAAGACAACACATTCCCGGAGCAAGTGGCACGCGTGGTCTGGCTCTTGCACATATGAGCCTCAATGTGACCCCAATCCAGCCGCGCTGACCGCCCAAGGGACATCTTGAGTCAGCTTTGAGGCCGCTTCGAGTACCCTAATACGGCTCCAGTATGTACCGACAGGGCCCCTGCGTAGCACCCAAGATGGCATCGAATTCGGTCGCGTGAGATAAGGCGAGGAGTCACATGGTTGCTATGCGGGGGTGGACCGGGGGGGGGGGGCAGGGCGCATCTCTGGGCTCGCATGGGGTCTGCATGGGGTGCGACTTCGAGGCGGTCGGAGTCGTGCGGGTCGGGCGGTCGCCACGCGCCCCCCTCCAAAAAAACGTATCTGATGGTGCGAATCTGGGCTGCATAGAGGAAGGGTTCCTCTTGAAGCAGGCACGCATTCCAGGATGCAGCCTAAAGAACGACCGCTTGCGATTGCACCCTTGGTTCCACTAGTTTGACCGCGTCGATGTTGTTTTGTTTTGTTTTGGTTTTTTGGGTTTCTACACAATATATCAGCTTTGGCAATGGAGCCGAAGGCCCCTGGGCCAACTAACGACAGAAACTCACAACTGCGTGGTTTCGTTTACCCATGGGGCTGATGATGAGTAAGGTGAAGGTGGATGTGAAAGTGTTTGTTAGCAGCCGCGCCTGCGGGGGCGGCTTCGGCATCTACCCCGACTTCGCCGTCGGCGCTGCAATCGGCTGCGGCGGCCGCGGCACGGCGACGGCGAACGGCGACGCTGCGGGTGGAACCAGCACGTGGCCAGGCGTCGGCGGGGCCGCGGGCGCGGTCTGCAGCGCTGCCACCAAGCCACTCAAGGCCGCCGCCGCGCGATCCGAAGACGCTGCAGGGACGACCCCAACACCAGCGGGTGGATCAGCCATCGCAGCCGCCGCGCTGCCCTTGATGCCCATGCAGTGGCTCGGCGGCGCCGTGGATGGTGACGTAGGAACCTTCGGCGGCTGCGACCTGGCGTCGCGTGTGAGCTGCGCCTTCTGCGGCGGCTGCCCATCCCTTGGTGGCGTAGCTGGGCGGCGACCCGACGGTCTCGGCTTAGCGCGCATGTCGGCCGATGAGTCACGCTCAGCGCCAGCCAGCAGCACCCAGCGGCCGTCGATGGTCTCGTGGTCCCTGTTGATCGCCGCGGCCGTGTCCCAGGGCGCGTCGTAGTTGACCTGGCTCTCGCCCCGTTGTGCCACGACGTCGTGGGCGTATCCGCGGCCCATCGGCTCTGGGATGAACGCCCACGGGCAAGCGGCCCACGTCTCCGCAGTCGGGGCGACACGAGAGTGCCCACGAGACTTGACGCCGTGCATGCGGAGCGTCTGGGCGTTGAACACCCTGCCGTTCTCGCCGATCAGCGCGTAGTTCAGTCGATGGCGGCCCGCGTTGCAGCTCACCATTGCAAGGGTATCGTTGAGCCCGGACTGCGCGGCCAACAGCTCGGTAGCGTCGAAGACACCGTGCATGGCCTTCTTCGTGGCATCCATGACGCTCGCCTGCGCGTGGACGCTGAGGATCGCGATCGGGCGCGCCCCGCCCTGATCGAAGGCCGCGCCGTCGAGCATGGGATCTCGCGTGATCTTGCGCAAGTCCAGCTTGACGATCGCGGCGTCGGCGACGTCGTTCTCGACGCCTGAGTCCGCGACGCTTCTGCCGTGGACGGACTCCCCGTACGTCAAGATGGCCGCTGGCACGGGGATGGCGCCCACCCCCGCGCAGCGTGCGAGCTCCTGTGCGCTGGCGCCCATCGCCGCACAGCGGCGGCGCGCCTCGCCCGCTGGCAACCGAAGCGGCGGGGTGCGGCGCTGCAGAAGGGCGCCCGACGCCCTTGAGCTAAAAGCGGCCGCAATGACATCGATAATGCCAGTTGCTTGGCCCATCGCAGCTGTGGCAGATCAGGGCCACGATTGTCAATGCGTGGGGGCATGGCGACGGTTGTGATTCTATTGATTCATATATGGCCCTGTGCACTGTCATGAAGTACCCGATTGGGGCTGCTACGGTGGCATGTAGGCAAAGCAGCGGTCGATCCGCTTGTCAATGCTACGCGTCGCGTGAAGTTCGGAAGTGATGTATGCCATGCGACTCTATGTTATGCCATGCAATAATATGCTATGGGTACTGTGTCATGATATGTGTTGCGGTCAATCTGGAGAGACTGCGCCTCGCTTCCCTCGCGATCGTCGAGTCTCATGCTAACGAGGCAGCGCAGCATGAGATAGCAAAGCCCCGAGCGGGCCGCGGCAATCGAACCGCATAGCTGGCGACCATCCGCAGGTCGCAAGGGGGGGGGGGGAGGCGTGGATGGGGCGCGACAGAGGGAAGAATCACACGGGGAGAAGGGGGGGGAGGGGCACGACGACGATTGACGATCTGGCTCGCACCCTTCGGCGTGCGCATGATTGGGGCCCCGCGGCGGCCGGCGAGAATGCGCTGCCTCCCCCCCCGCCCCCACGCGCCGCATGCTCAACAAAAAGTCGCATGTTCCCTACGACAAATTTACACTGCGCAAAGTCAAGCTCCCTTTCTCGATCCTCCTCCTCCACCTCGTCATCCGGCCCTGCGCCGTCGTGAGCCTCGACCTCGCAGTCGCCGACCTGCCAAGACTGAGCCTTCCCCGCCGCGGCCTCGACAAAGTTGCCGTGCTGGTCCAGCCTGAAGTACTTGCTGGACTTCGCGCCGTCGTCGTGCTTGTGGGCCCGAACGTAAGGCCGACCGTTCTTGTGGTTGAGTCACATGTGCATGAGACCCACGCTGGCAACCGGGGGCGCACCCTTTTCCTGCTTCACGTCGACGAAGGCCTCGAACTGGCCCGCGCCACCCTCGACAGGCACTCGAGCGTGGGAGGGTTGCACTCGTCCAGCAGATCGGGCGTCCCAGGCTTTTTATGGACGACCTTGATGTCGCGAGAAGGCTCATCGCCGATCGCAGGTACCGTGACCTCCGTGAAGGTGTCTTCGGCAACAATCAAGCGCGCCAGCGCTTCCCTTGTCCAACGCTTGTTCCCCGCCTTGCGCTCCGAATATACGGCGTCGCCCTTGAGCTTTCGCACGGCGTTGACCAGCGTCGTCCGACTCGACGGCCTGTCGCAATGCATGGCCCTGAACCCATGCAGGAACAGCGTGTCGGCAAGCCTGTTGGCACTCAAGCTGAAGAGCTGCTCGCCGTTAACCTCGCGAGTGCCGGCGTGCGCAATCAAGCCGTCGGGGCCGACGACCGGAACCGATGGTTTGAGTGCGAAGGTCATGACGTGATCGTTCCTTGAGCCACGCTGGCAACTGCATCGACGACCGATTGACGTGCGGCATGCGATGGCAACGACATCGATTGACGCGGTGGTGCGTCAAGCGTGTACACGCGACTGGTCTACACATCAAACTCTCAAGCGTGCCACGTTCACGTGGCACGTCGAGTTGGGGCTGCCCACCCACTCTGATGCACGGCGCCTGCGCGCCCCCCCCCCCCCCCCACCACCACACGCAACTCGACAGGGCGACGCTGCAGACAAATGGCCAGCGACCTCACGCAGACTGCCAGGCCTTCTTCGATTGAAGAACTGGCACGGATATGTTCGCCTTCTTTGCAGTGGTGACCGTCGCCAAGTGCAGCGCGAGCTCCTCGTTCTCGGTGACCTTGAAATTCGCGGCGCATGGGGTGGTGATGTCGATCATTAGGCCAGCCATCTTGTCGCCGATCACGGGGCGCTTTGCTTTCGCCGTGTTCATGGTGATCTCGCAATTGCACTTGTCCCTGTCGGACTCCACGCGGAGGCGCCAGCGCTGGCTCACGAACTCATCGGTTGGCGGCGACGGCATGATGAACATTTTCGGTTCGCCGTCCACGGCGACGCGGACCTCGAGAGCCCTGGGCGGGCACGCCGAGGCGTCCTTTTTCTGGGGCACGACCGACAGGAGCTGGCGCTGCGACGTAGCAGTTTTCCTCGAGCACCTTGATCGCCAGCGCTGCCCTGCGCGGTTTCTTCATGGGCCTGGCGCGCTGCACCCCGCGCTTACGACGCAGGGCTTTCAGCGCAGCATGTGTCCTACCCTTCGCCCCAAGGGCGCTGCAATCCTTATCGTTGACAGCGTCGTAATCAGGACAATTGCCCATGACTTCCTGATCTTTGCAAGCGACAAACAGTTCTTCGATTGCCTGCAAAGGCTTGGATGTAACGCCGTTCTCGTCAAGAGTGCCATGGAACTTCGCCAACTTGAACGCAACCGTGCCATCGCCACTAACATCCGCGATCTTCCAAATATCTTGCATTGCCAGGGGGGCGCCGTCGGGCGGCTTCCGAAGCCGAATGTGGGCGCCGACAACGATGTCCTTCTTGAGGGCAGCGGTCTGCCCCAAGTCCGAATCCTCACCGCCATCGGTATACTGCGCGAAATCTGCTGCCCCGTCAGCTGACGAGGACGGAACATATGCTGATAACTACGCCCGCGGGCCAGCCCCTGAATTGACGTCCACTTCCCGATGAAATCCTCAAGGGCCGCCGTCGGCGTCTCCGTCTTCTCCGCGGGGCCTTTGCCCATGACCTTCGCCTTGCCCTTCTTCTCCAGGAGGAAGTCCACGACGTCTATCATGAGCTGGCGCTTCAGCGGCTCTATCACCGACGGGCCCCACTGCGCCCCCGCGAGCAGATCCTTCGCGCGCATCAGGGCGCCGTTTGCCTCCGCCACCGCCTTCCGCTTCTCGGGCTTCGAGAGCAGGGCCAAGTCGGGCTTCGCGATATACCCTGCGAGCCCGCCCCTCGCGCAATCCTCCGCCGCGGCGTGCCGGAACAATACGGCGTTCACCGCGCGCGTTGGCATCGGATCGATGGGAGACTTGAGTCCCGCCAGCTGCTTGAAGAACGCGCCTGAGACCGCGCGGTCGGAAGGCGCGCAGTGGTTGAAGAGGGGCGAAAGCTCCCTGATCAAACTACCGCTGGGCATGCCGCCCCACTCGATGATGTGCTCCACCGTGACTGGGAGGCCGATGGCTCTCAGGGGCTTTGACTTCAACACCTTCTTGGCAAGCGCTTTCAAGTCGGGCTGCGCGCCCACGGCGGGCGCCGCGCCAATGATGCTCGGCGGGTTCTGGTGCCAAGTCTCGCCTGGGCTCCGCTGCTGTGGCTGCGCATCGACAACCGCTACCGCAATCGCTACCTCCGCCGCTTCCACTGACGGTCGCTGCAAACAAGCGGATAATGGTGATGACGACGAGCGCAAACGAACTGGGGACCCGAGAGGACGGGAGGCGGGGGCATGATCAGGAGGAAGGGGGGGGGGGGGGGGCGGGCGGACGGGGGGAATAATAGATGAAAGGTGAGTGAAGGAGGAAGGGAACATGCGGAAGTGGACTGCGGAAGGAGGAGGGGGGAGCGGCCTGCGGGCGTCTGTTGCACCGTGTTCAGGACGTCGCCATAGATTTTGGCAACCATGGGCAACGCCGCGTGGGCGACACACTTCGCGACGGTAAATTTAACGCCGTCGACGATCGCATCCCTGAGCAGGCCGCTCGTGTCTCGGTCGCGCGCGACGTCGGGGTCCATAGAGCCGCCCCTCGTCAAAGAGTCGCATTCGCTCTTGACGCGGTCGCGGGCGCAGGCGAACCCGTGGAGAGCGTGCGTTGTTCCCCGCGCCCCTACTCGGATCTCATCCTCTCGGTGCTTTGCGGGGCGCGGGTGTTTCGCACATTGGTTCACAGTGTACTTGGCGTACTCGGGTATAGGGGTTGCCCTCGCTGGCCACGGCGTAGTGTTTGATGGTGACCATGGGAAAATCTGACGTCTGAATGACCCCCGCGCGCCCGTGCGCGCGACGCCACTGGGCGCCTTCGCTTCCGCGGTTGGTCCCCATGGCGCCGGCTTGTTTGCAGTGGAACACCTTCTGGTGCGACTGATTGTGCTTCTGGCGCACCTCGAGGATGCGGTCCTTGAGCTCTACGTTGCCTGCTGATTATGTGCTCTCGGCGCCATGCTCGTCGCGCAACTTTTGAGCTCGCGGTGGCAGGCCGCGGCCTTGAACTGATCAGCGATCTTCGCTGCAGAGTGCATGATTGAAGACGAGCTGACTCAATGTGCGAACGCAGCATTTCCGACATCCGGCCGCCGCTATCAGCCCAACAACAACTTAAGCCCAAATAAGCTACGTGCGCGAATCATATGTGATCGCATTTCGCTAAACGGGAACGTGCGATCATACGCATGGGTGGGAATCGACTCCATACATGACAGGACAACATCCGACTTCGGAGACCGAGGCAGCGGTCGACGACGCATGCCGCCAATCATGCGATTACCAATGTGCTTGCAAACGCACGCACGCATGCGATAATCGCAGATGCTACACTGTATGTTGGCTTGCAGTCAACACACTACTATTTTGTATGTGCGTATGTATACTCAATACGTATGTGCGTGCACACGTGGAATGGAGTTATACCTGGGTTATGTTGGCGACAGCGCGACCCTTCTATAACTTCATTTCCATACGTATATACTTACTAACACATGTGAAGTTTTGCAACCCTTACGATTGAGTTGGATATGTTATGATGACGTTGCTACTATGTTGTGGGAGGGTTGGCCAGAGTTGTAGCGAGCTTGCAACGCGGCGAACAACAAAGTGGAGCACGCTGGGGAGAGTTGCGAGGGGGGCGGGCAGGGAGGGGGGGGGCGCGCGGTGCGACCCGGAATAAAATGGTCAGGGCGGAGGGGGCACTTGGCGGAGGTTCCACTGAGCCTCTGGGGAACGCTGGTGATAGAGGAGACGGGTGCGGTGCGACGCGGGATAAAATGGCCGAGGCGGAGGGGGCACTGGGCGGAGGTTCCACTGGGCCATGAGGAACGCTGGGGAGTGGTAGAAGGGGGCGGGGCGGGCAGGGGGGGGCTGGGGAGGGGTGGGAGGCGGGCGGGGAGGGGGGGCGGGCGCGGTGCGACGCGGAAGTAAATGGTCGGGGGGAGGGGGCACTGGGCGAAGGTGCCACTGGGCCACTGGGGAACGCTGGGGAAAGGTAGGAGGGGGCGGGGCAGGAGGGGGCGCGATGCGACGCGGAATAAACTGGTCGGAGCTCTAGACACCCTGTGCTAAAATAGTAACAGAAGAGTCGGGGCAGAGGCGCTGGCTGACGGGCGAGGCGGGGGGGCGCGGGGGGGGGTGGCCGCGCAGGAATAACAAAATCGGGGCGGAGGGGGCGCGCTGGCTGGTGGGCGGGGGGGGCGCGGACGGCGCGCGCGAGGCGCCGCGCCGAAATGCGAGAGTCGAGGCGGGGGGGCGCGCTGGCTAGTGGGCGGGGGAGATCCGGAGGGGGCGCTGGCGGGTGGAGGGGGGGGCGCGGAGGGGGCGCGCGGGGCGGGGGGGGCGTGCCGGAATAAAAAAATCGGCGCGGAGGGAGCGCGCCGGCTGGTGGGCGGGGGGGGGCGCGGAGGGAGGGGGGGATAAAATGCGGGGCGGAGGCGGCGCTCTGGCTGGTGGGCGAGAGGGGCGCGGGGGGGGCGCGCGGAAGGGGAGGGGAGGGGGCGTGCCGAAATGCAAGGGTCGGGGCGGAGGGGGCTTGCTGGCTGGTGGGTGGAGTGGTGGTGGTCTGGGATGGGGGGGGGCCGTGCCAAAATAGAAAGGTCGGGGCGGAGGGGGCGCGCTGGCTGGTGGGTGGGGTGGTGGTGCGGGGGGGGCGCGTGTGTGCCAGTTAAAAGGGGTCGAGGTGGAGGGGGCGCGCTGGCTGGTGGGCGGGGGGGTGGGGCGGGGGAGATGGGGGTGCGCCGGGGGCGCGCTGGCTGGTGAAATGGGTGGGTGATGGAGGGCGTGCCGTACCGAAATAAAGCGGTCTGAGCTCTACACGCCTTGTGTAATAGAATAGAACCAGCGCGTTTAAAGTAGTAAACGGGCTGCTTCCCGGAAGAAGAAACAATTTCTTGGATTTTCGTTTTAGCAGCCACGGGTTTGCCGGCCTTCGTTCGGCGTCTAAGATTGTGGAGGACGATCAACGGAGAGGAAGCATGTTGCCGAATAATTTCCATATGTCTAACACATGTGCTAAACATATTCAGACATGTAGAAAGTATAGTTAAACCATATTTAGAACATTTCTCATACATTTTAACACATGTTGAATGCCGTGTTAAATTCTATGATAGGACTGTTAGGGTGCCCATTGTCTTGGCATTCACAAGTCTAAGAAGGCAGGATGGGGAGGTCCTCCTCGGACCCCATCTGGGAGGCCTCTACTCTCTGTTTGCCCTCGGGAGCCCCAGGGCCTTCCTTTCGGGGGCGGCAAGGAGGGGTGTGATCACTACAGTCTCAGGGCTCGTTTCGATTTCTCCGATTCGATTGGATCCGATTGTGATGGCTTCCGATTCAGGTTCGATTCGATTTCGGATTCCGATTTAGGCTCCGATTTCTCAATGGAAGCTTACTGGCCTGCCAGTTTCCGCCGATTCGACTTTCCCCAACTCGGCTGCCGATTTCCGCCGGTCCAACTCATTTCGATTGCAGATCCGATGTATCGATTCGATTCTGGGCCCTCTTGCAGCCGGGCCGAGGTATGGGATCGAGGTCGGTTCGGAGGGTACCCTCGTGTTCTTGGATGAGATTGTGCACCCTGTGGGAGGGTACCCCTGGATGTTCTGTTTGTTTGGGACGACGGAGGGTCGCATGTTCTTGAGGGATGGGTCTTCTGACCTATGTCCGGCTGTGCCATCCGTCCCCCGTCCTTTCGGGGGCGGCGAAGAGTCGAGTAGGGGTTCGACTGCAGAATTGATTTGCCCCAACATCGTCTTGTCGTCGAATTTACGAAACACACGTATACTGTTCAGTAGATCTACTGAACATCCCACGTATTTCTCGAAGATTTGACAGAACAGCCAATTTGGGATGCATGAATTCTTTAGTCGACCACCTATTCGAAAGAGGGGTTGATGACTAGGGGGTGAATGTCATGGCGGGGGCCATGACATCTTCCCAGGTTTCATAGCGCCTCTTCTTGTTCAGTACGTCCCTGGTCCCCCTAGGCCGCGCACGTGCCGCCAGCCATGACTTGGACGCCCCCGAACATTTGTTGTCTCTCCCTCTTTCCCTCCCTCCTCCTCCCTCCCTGGCCTGGCACGGCTGGATTGATCCCCGCTCCCGGTCGGACTTTTGGCCTTTGCAGTTGAAAGTCATCGTCGTCCTTGGTCATTGACATCGCTCGGACGTGGACATGTGTCCCTCTGCGAGGACCATCGAGGAGCATCCTGGATCATCTTGCGAAAATTCATGCGCGAAGCTGACAACTGCACTGGGAATGCACGTCCAAGCGATGGAGAGTTCGCCCATTCCCCTCCACCTTCTCGAAGAAGGGAAACTGGTTTTCCTTCGCCCATCAGAGGCTTGTTTCCCCTTCGGCAAGCCTGGGTCAGGGGCTGCGGCTCGCAGCCGGGAGTGGGTTGAAGGCCCTTCAGCAGGCAAGCAGCATAGGACTTTGGCGCCGCCTGGGGGTGGGGGGGGGGGAACTGCATAAACATAAGCTCTTGGAGGTCCGCCCCTTGCGCGCGCGGAGCGCGCCAGCGGCGACGGAGCTGGCGCCAAGGGGACCCAGCGCCGATCCAGGAAATCCGCTCGCAGCTTCGACAGTGTATGTTCATGCAGCTTTCCTTCTTCGACCCGTGGACCCCCCCTCCCCAACTCTCTGGCTGGAGGCAGTTTGCCCACCTGGTCAACGACTTCGGCAGCGGCGGGCAGTGCGACGACGGCGAGCTGCGGAGACTGCTGAGGGCCTTGCGCGGCGTGGAGCCGCTCGGGGAGGGCCGTATGCACGCGAGGCGTGCGCGGGGATGGAGATCAGGAGGGGGGGATGATTCGGGCGAGGAGAATTATGCACATGCACCGATCCTGGCAAGGCTCATCCTTGACCCGTGATCGGTGCATATGCCTTCCTGGCCAAGGTAGGAGGGCGTATGCACCGATTCTGGGCTCAGGATGGGCCTGGCCAGAATCGGTGCATGTGCACAGTTCTTTTTCCTCTAATGATGAGGCAGGAGAGAAAGGAGGAGGGGAAGATTAAAGGGGGAAATGGGAGGAGGGAGGGAGGGAGGGGAGGGAGGGGAGGGAGGGGAGGGAGGGAGGGAGGGAGGGAGGGAAGATTAAAAGGGGGAGGAGGAGGGAGGGAGGGAGGGAGGGAGGAGAGGGAGGGAGGGAGGGAGGAAGGCAGGAGAGAAAGGAGGAGGCGATGACGCGTCTCGGTGGACTCTCCCTCGCCTGGCTCCGTCCCCCTTGTTCGCCTGCCTTCTCGCTCGCCGGCCCCACCCATCGGCCCTCCGGGCCGGGCGAAAGGGGGTCACGGCAGACGGTTGGTCTCGCGGTGCAAGGAGGCGAAGAGGAGTGCACTTGCAGAGCATTTGTCCCTGCAGGAACCTGAGGTTTGTTTCAGGATCTGGCAGAGAGGACGATTGCATGTCTCGGGCCGGACGAAAGGGGGGGATTGGGAAGGGGGGGGGGGTACGAAATTTGCTGCATGCAGCTGGTTTCGGCCTCACCGAGGGGCCCGTTCCTCGATACATAGCCGCCTCCGGCGCCGGGAGGCGCCGGGAAAATTAGCTACGTGAGGTGATTCTCAACCCCCCCTTTTGCTATCCCCCCCTTTCGCCCGACCCGAGCCCTCCGAGCCGTTTTGCGATGGCGGCGCCTGACAGACTCTTGCGCCTTCAGGTCGGCAGGAGGCCATGACGAGGGAGGGGACTTCAGGAGGGTACAAAAACACAGACACAATGGATCGCCGATTCACAGAAAGATGTGTCAAAATATGGGCAGTAGGGAGGAAAACGAAAACCCTGAAAATATGGAAAACTGTTGGGATTTTTGGGGATTGTGCCTATTTATTTGTGTGTCCCCGGGCCCCTTCAGGACTGAGGATCGTGGCTCGTGGCTGGAGGCTCGAGGCTCGAGGCTCGGTCGTCGAAGCTCGAGGCTCGAGGGTCGAGGGTCGAGGTTCCGTCTGTGCTCGAGAATCGGTCGTCGAGGCTCGAGGATTGAGGAGAGTCGAGGCTCGAGGCTCGAGGCTCGGCCATCGAGGCTCGTGGATCGAGAGTTGAGGCTCGAGGCTCCAGGCTCGGCCGTCAAAGCTCGAGAATCGAGGAAGGTCGAGGCTCGAGGCTCGAGGCCCGGCCGTCGAAGCTCGAGGATCGGTCGTCGAGGGCCGAGGGCCGAGGCTCCGTCGGTGCCCGGAGCCGCCGCGGGGCGGCGCCGGGCCGGGGGGCGGCGGCGCGGCGGCTGCAGGGGGGAGGACGCAGTGAGGTCCTGCATGGGGGGGCCACGGAGGGTCCTGCAGGGGAGTCCTCCTGGTGCTCCTCCTCCTCCTCCTCTCGGGTCGGGCGAAAGGGGGGGATTGGGAAAGGGGGGGTTACGAAATCTGCTGCATGCAGCTGGTTTCGGCCTCCCCGAAGGGCCCATTCCTCGATACATGGCCTCTCCCGGCGAATGGAGGCGCCGGGAAAATCAGCTACGTGAGCTGATTCTCAAACCCCCCCTTTGCTATCCCCCCCTTTCGCCCGACCCGATCCTCCTCCTCCTTTTGCTCCTCCTCCTCCTGCTCCTCCTCCTCCTCCTCCTCCTCCTCTTGGACCACCCCCAGGCCAACACATCTGAAGATCTGGAACGTCGAAAATGATTCAGGATGAGGCACCGGTCTTTGGCAAGGGCGTGTCGAAAAAATCAGGACATGTCTGGGAATGTTTCTTGCGGTTTGGGGGATGTCGTCCAGATTTCGTCGGATTTGGTCGGCATCTGGACGAAATTTGGACTACATTTTGACGAAAGGGTGGAGAGAGGCTGGTCGAAATCTGGACGAAACCTGGTCGACATCTTGTTTACCGCGGAGGTCCACAGAGGCTCTCGTGCAGGCTCAACCAGAGGAGGCAGGATGGAGAGGAGGAGGAGGTGGAGGCGATGACCAGGGAGGGGATAGGAAGGGTCAGCTGGAATAGCCGGGGTGTAGGGCAGGAATGAACACTGTGAGCACCTTGGGTTTCTTCAATGGAGGTACCGGGGAATCGGTCTGCTCTACTTCTCGGGTACAGCTCTTGTGTACCGTTCCACGTCCGTTGTGTTATATGATGCTATATTGTATTATGGTATGTGCCTGGCGTGTCGGCGCTTGTATGTCATTCGCACTTTCGGTTGTTTGAGAAGGAAGTCATGGTCCCAGAACATTTGTTCGAATGCGAAAGAACGCACAAGGCAAATACGGACACATAACGCAATCGTTTGCACACCACGCAAACCAAATGTTCACCACAGAGACACGTGTTTGTCATGAAATGAAAGAAGGGTGCTTCCACCTCGCCCTTCTTCGCCAATTTCGCATTCCTCACCCCTTCTCCTCATCGAGAAAGTCTTACGTACTCACATGGTTCGGGGAGGTGGAATGGGGTGCATGAGGGGAAGAGGGGGGCCATGGAAAGGAGGAGGGAATGAAGGAGAGTGAGGAGGAAGGATTGAGGAGGTGGAGGAACATGATCATGACAGGGTCGAAGAGGTGGAGAAGCGGGAGGAAGAGGCGGCGGAGGGGAATGGGCGGAGGAAGAAAAAGTTGCGCGGATTTGGAGGGGGATGGCGAGGGGAGGGAGGGGAACGGCATGAGGAGGAGGTGAAGAGGAAGAGGAGGGTGAGGAGTGTGATGAGGAGGTGATGAAATAAACGCTCCTGGTAGGGCGGGGGTCATTTTGCATTATCTTGGCCCCAGAAGATCCAGCCGAACGCTTTAACGTTTTGGGGCCGTCTGACTTTGTCGCAGTCGAGTTCGCGAGCTGGCACGCGTTGCGCGTTCCAGTGCCAGAGGAAGTGCTTGCTCTTTTGTCTGCAAGCAGTCATTCTGCAACGGAAGGTCGAGTGTGAATCGTCCGTATCTGTTTTTCCGTTCCACGTCGCCTCGCTTCTCTTCTTCTTCCCTCTCCATGTTAGTCCTTCTTCTGGTCCTCATCACCATCGACGTCGTCATCATCATACTCATTGCCTCATCCCTTCCTCCTCCTCCTCCTCCTCCTCATCCTCATCCTCATCCTCCCTCCTCGTTCCTCTTCCCAGGCCACGCGTGCTCGTACCCGCGATAGCGTGGGAATGGCCGTTGACCTTGCTCGCTGGCCGCGCGCGAAGTGACGCGATGCCTAGCCGAGCCGTTTGCAGTGAAGATTGGTCTTTGGTCCAGATCGCAGTGGCTTCTCCGGCTCACGCCCGACTCCTGACACTTTTCAGAAGCATGCTCGCCATGACACGCAAGAGATGCGGGGCGGTTTGGCGAAGGCTGGGTTCTGAACGTGTCCCGTGCCTGGTGCGCCCGGTCTCCCCAGTGCCCGTCCACTGCCTCTTTCTCGGTGCGTCCCCCCCGACCTGGTCCGCCCTGAGGTTTGGCAACGCTCGTCCTCCTCCTCCTCCTCCTCCTCCTCCTCCTCCCCCCCCCTCCTCTTCCTCCTCCTCCTCCTGCGAGAAGCAGGCGCGCGAAATCGAAGCATGCGTGGGGACCGGACTCCCGAGCGACGGCAGGGAGGGCACGGTCCCACCCACGGGTGAACAATCACAGCTCCACATGCCGAGCGTGATTGTTTTCGTATGTCGGCGGCGAGCGAGGGGGGAAAGTGAGAAGGAGAAGGCCTTGTCAGAAGGCGGCGGGACTTCTCAGAAGCCCTCGCGCCTTCTGAGAAGTTCTCTGTGTCTTTGGGGAAGGCTTGGAAAACTTCTCAGAAGGTCGGGGAACTTCCGAGCCTTCTGAGAAGGCCCGCCCCGACTCATTTCCCCCCCCGGGCGCGCCGCCTATCCACATGCCGAGCGTGATCGTTTTCGTATTCATTTGTTTTGCCGGTCCACGTGGGCCCTCGCACACCGACGGCTGCCCTGGGCAGCCGTTGTCCCGCGGGCTCGCCGGGCGCAATCTTGTCCTCCTCGTTCCTCCTCCTCCCCCCCCCACCCTCCTCCTCCTCTCCTCTGCTGGCTTTGGCGCGTCTGCGCGTCACCCGTTCTCGCCGCTGGGCTCCCTCTGGATGGTAAACGAAGTGGGCCCTCACACACCCTCCCCTCACACACCCATGTATTAGATCTTGGCGGTTTCTTGGCCGCCTGTTTCGAGCAGGTGGAGTCTCCCCCACGAGGCGCACTGGCGAACAGTCGCACTGAGCAGAGGTTCGTAGCCAGACCCCCCATCCCCCCCTTCCGCCCAATGTCGAAACGCCGAATAAGAACACGCTCACAACCCTCTATCTGAGAGGTTCCTCTGGCGGCCCATCGCTCTCGCACCTCCTGGCCTGTCGCTCTCCGTGTTTTTTGGCCGCACGCGGTCGCCGCGGCACTTCCACGTCGCGCCCGGTCAGGCTCCCTTCCGCCCTGCTTCAACAGTGCTCGGCGGCGACATTGGACGGGTGCAAAGGGGCGACACCGAAGCAACGCGTCATCCCTTTTGGAGCTCCGTTTCGCCGAGGGCTGCAGTGGCTCGTAGAGGTGCGCCGGGCTGCTCAGCCTCAGATCGCCGAGCTTCGGAGAACAGTCCGCCTCCCCCTCGCCGCAGCCCGAGAGGTGGCCCGCGCGCTGGGGCTGGCCCAGGCTCGCTGGCGCTGTGTTCAGGGAGCTGGACGTCGGGCGCGCAGGCCACGAGGAGAGGAAGAGGGGGAGACCGTGAGGAGGAGGAGGAGGAGGAGGAGGAGGAGGCGGAGGAGGGCGGAGGAGGGGGAGGTCGAAGAGGGGGATGATGCTGATGGAGGATGGAGAGGATCGGGCCGAACGAAGAGGGGGGGATGGGGGAAGGGCGGGTGACGACATCTGCGGCATGCTGCTGGCTTCGGCCCGGCCGCCGGGCCTGTTCCTCGATACGTGGGCGCCTCCTGGAGCCGGGAGGCGCCGGGAGGCGCCTTTGTACGTATCGACCCCCCCGTGTTGTCCCCCCTTTTCGCCCCTCAGCTACGCGAGCTGATTCTCAACCCCCCCTTTGCTATCCCCCCTTTTCGCCCGGCCCGAGAGGAGGGCGGAGGGGGGGGAGGTCGAAGAGGGGGATGATGCTGATGGAGGATGGAGAGGATCATGAGGGGGGGTAGGAGCAGGAGGACGGGGAGCCCGGGAATAATGCTGTAAGGAGTTCTGCTTGGTTGGGTTCGGAGGCCAGGAGTCACGGCAGACGGTTGGTCTCGTGGTGCAAGGAGGCGAAGAGGAGTGCACTTGCAGAGCATTTGTCCTTGCAGGAACTTGAGGTTTGTTTCAGGATTTGGCAGAGAGGACGATTGCATGTCCCTGCAGCGCTAAGGTCTTCGATGGCAAGCTTCGTGATTCCTGATAGGAAGTGCGATCTGATGTTTAACACTCACGAAGCGTGGGCTCGCCACCATATCGAGGCATGTTTTGCTAGGCAGTACTCCTCTAGTATCGGAGGTTGGGGGGCGAGATGGCAGTGGAACGGAGACCCGCAACTGGGAAATCGTTTCGTTGTGTTCGTGTCGTGCGTGCGGGCGAGGCGAAGCTGCGCGGGCGCGCGAGAGGAATGTACACGCCGTTGCTAGGGCGAAGTCAAGACAAATGGTCGCAGTGTCCCGCGGTGTCCCGTGGTGTCCCGTAGTGTCCCATGGTGTTTGCCGTTGCTAGGGCGAAGTCAAGACAAATGATTCTCCCCCTCCCGCCCGTCGGGCGGTGGCCCGCAGTGTCTCGCGGTGTCCCGTGGTGTCCCGTAGTGTCCCATGGTGTTTGCCGTTGCTAGGGCGAAGTCAAGACAAATGATTCTCCCCCTCCCGCCCGTCCGGCGGTGGCCCGCGGTGTCCCGTAGTGTCCCGTGGTGTTTGCCGTTGCTAGGGCGAAGTCAATACAAATGATTCTCCCCATCCCGCCCGTCCGGCGGTGGCCCGCGGTGTCCCGTGGTGTCCGTCGTTGCTAGGGCGAAGTCAAGATAAATGATTCTCCCCCTCCCGCCCGTCCGTCCGTCCGTCCGTCCGGCGGTGGCTCGCGGTGTCCCGCGGTGTCCCGTGGTGTCCCGTGGTGTTCCGTGGTGTCCCGTGGTGTCCCGTTGAGTGAGATCGATAGTGAGTGACATATTGAGATCGATGTGGTGCCCCGAGTTTTCCCGTGGTGTCCCAAGAAGTGAGATCGATAGTAAGATCGACAGGTGTCCCGTGGTGTCCCGTGGTGTCCCGTTGAGTGAGATCGATAGTGAGATCGATATTGAGATCGATGTGGTGCCCCGGTGTGTCCCGTGGTCTCCCGTGGTGTCCCGTTGAGTGAGATCGATAGTGAGATCGACAGGTGTCCCGCGGTGTCCCGTGGTGTCCCGTGGTGTTCCGTTGAGTGAGATCGATAGTGAGATCGATAGTGAGATCGATGTGGTGTCCCGTGGTGTCCCGTGGTGTGCCTTGGTGTCCCGTGGTGTCCCGTGGTGTCCCGTTGAGTGAGATCCATAGTGAGATCGATAGTGAGACCGATAGTGAGATCGAGAGATGTCCCGCGGTGTCCCGTGGTGTCCCGCGGTGTCCCGTTGAGTGAGATCGATAGTGAGATCGACAAATGTCCCGTGGTGTCCCGTGGTGTCCCGCTGAGTGAAATCGATAGTGAGATCGATTGAGTCTGATGTTGTTTCCCCCCCTCTCCCCCCCCCACAACTTCCTTATCACCCGAAGGGTGGTTGTATAGGTATGCTGAAAGCCACTTGACTGTGATGTGGTTTGAACGTTCTCGTATGTGTTAGCCTTCTTGCAGCCCAGCTAACCACTATACCAACGTTATGGAGCAGAGGCCCTTCAGATGTCCCTTGAGGTCCCTGAAGACGCCTCTTGTAAGCCTTTGGGGTCTCTTCGGATTCTCCTTGGGGCCTCTTGGGCGACTCATCGGGGCCTCTAGGGACACCTTTGGGACCTCGCAGGATGTTCCTGTTGATCTCGGAAGCCAGCTTAGGGTGGGATGTTTGAAACAACCGTCAGTTCGAGTCTCACCTCAGGGAACAATAATCGGGGCCTCGTGTGCCCTCAAGGGGGCCTTCTTGGTGCGTTCTTGCCTCCCTCTTGGGCGCTCTAAAGGCCCCAAGAGTAGAGTTTGCAAAAACCCACGCTGAACATGACTTGGCGTCGCTCGGACGTCTGCATTGTTTCTCGGCGGGGATCATCGAGGAGCAGCAACACAAACAAACGCACACAATCAGCAAACGCACAGGGAATGGGCGTCCGAGCGATGCCAAGGGAAGAGTTTCGCGGGACGCCCGGAGTCCCAACAAATCCGCGAGTTGGGGGTCTGGGCCCCTCAAATCTTGCATATACCGAAAACCTGGCCCTTGGGGCCCCCGGCCCGAAGACCACCAGGGCACATGATATACATCAAGTCCCTTTTCCCCTCCCCAGGGCCTCCCTGACCCCCCCCGGAGCTTCCGCGGCCCCCCCTGGAGCTTCCGGGTAGGATCCACATAGGTCCAAGACGGGCCAACGTGGCTTCCAGACGACCCAAGAGGGCCCCAAGGTGCCCCAAGACGGCTCCTGGTGGACCCCGACAAGTGTCCGAAGAGGCAACCGTCGCCCAACTCTTTTCGAGGAAACGCACATTTGTGCGTCCAAGGCGGCCCCAGAGGCCGCCAGCAGAGCCCGCTCGACCAAGATCCCTCAGAGGGCCCCGAGACGGCCCAAGATTGCCCCAAGACGGCCCAAGAGGCACCCAGGACGTCCCAAGACGGCCCCTAGCGGGCCCCAAGAGGGGCCTGGAGGGGGGGGGAAGGGACGTCGAGCCTGCATTGCGAGGCCTCCGCCCCAAGATGATCCCGAAGATCGCCAGCAGGCCCCCAAGGACCCCCCGGAGAGGACCCAAGAGGGCCCCAAGGCGCTTCAAGAGGACACCCGAGAGTGCCCCAAAAGAGGGCCCGAGGAGGCAAACATCGCCCCATTCCTTGAGAAAGACGCATAGTTGTAGCATATTCGCTCTTTTCATTGCGCAGCGTCCAAGACGGCCCCAGAGGCCCTCAGCAGAGCCCAAATCGGCCCAAGAGGTCCCCCAGATGGCCCCAAGACGGCCCGGAAGGCACCCAGGACCGCCCAAGACGGCTCCAAAAGGGCCTCAAGCGGGGCTTTGGGGGGAAGTGAATTCAAGCCCACATTTCGAGACCTCCGCCCCAATAGGACCCAGAAGATCGCCAGCAGGCCCCCAAGGACGTCCCCGAGAGGACCCAGGAGGGCCCCAAGATGCCCCAAGACGGCTCCAAGAGGACCCTCTAAGAGGGCCCGCAGAGACAACCATCGCCGCCCCATTCCTTGAGGAAGGCGCACACTTGTAGCGCATTCGCTTTTTTTGTGTGCGCAGCATCCAAGACGGCTCAACGGCTTCCAGCAGAACCCTCAAACAGCCCAAGAGGTCCCCCAAAGGGCCCCAAGACGGCCCAAGAAGACCCCAAGACCGCCCAAGAGGCACCCAGGACCGCCCCAGACGGCCCCGAGAGGGGCCGTGGAAGGGGCAGAGCTCGAACAGACCTGTCGAGGCCTCCGCCCCACGAGGACCCCGATGATCGCCAGCAGGCCCCCGAGGGTCTCCCCGAGGAGACGTCACTGGGCCCAGCAGGCCGGATCACCCCCCAGGCCGGCCCCCGGCACCCTGGCTGGCCGGAGGCGACCCCGGAGGGGAGAGCGCCCTCTCCCTCCCTCTCCCATCCCCCTCCCTCCCTCTCCCGCCCCCTCCCTCCCTCTCCCTCCCCCTCCCTCGCCCTCCCTCGCCCTCCCTCCCCCTCCCTCCCCCTCCCTCTCCCTCCCTCTCCCTCCCTCTCCCTCGCCCTCCCTCCGACCGCGGCCCACAGAGCCACGCACCGATGAGCGGGGGCCATGTCCTCGGCGGCGCCGGCCTCGCAGCCGGGTGGGGCCACGTCTGTCTGGGCGTGCCCGCGGCGGGCCCCGAGGCGTCGTCGGCGGTCTCGGAGACGCTGGCACCCGTCCCTCCTCCTCCCTCCTCCCTCCTCCTCCTCCTCCCTCCTCCTCCTCCCTCCTCCTCCTCCTCCTCCGTTGACACAGGAGCCCCGTCCCTGGGGCGACCCCTCGCGGAGCCAGCCGTCCGCAGGGCCTGCGGGTGCTCAGGAGCGCCCGTGGGAGGCGCCCTCGCTTCTGGTGGGAGCTTGTTTTTCCCCACATGCTTCGTCGTGGGGTTCTGGTTTTCTTCCCTGCCGCGCCGCACCCGCGTCTCACACACCTCCCGCCTCCTCACCCACACACTCGCACACAGCCGCACGCATGCACACATTCGCACATACAAGACGCATGTTCACTGCATCATACACCCAAGACGTCTGCACGACATACTGGGCAACACGTGAGATATGTCCCGATATGGCCGCACACGCATCATACACATACACACGGCAAGCCATGCGGCAGGCGAGCAGGCCTGGCACTTCCTCGACACCATAGGGGTTGCGCAGAGGATGGTCCCTCAGCGGGGCCTCTATCCGTGACACGCTCGCAGGGCGTGGCAGGCGCGGCACTTTCTCGACACCGCTGGGGGGGTGCAAAGGGTGGTCCCTCAGCGGGGCCTCTATCCGTGACACGCTCGCAGGGCATGGCAGGCGTGGCACTTCCTCGACACCATAGGGGGTGCGCAGAGGGTGGTCCCTCAGTGCGGCCTCTATCCGTGACACGCTCGCAGATCGTGT